ACCAAACTCGGAGTGAAAAGGTTTTCCAACGAGTCAGCCAAGGAAAGGGAAACTTCATCAAGAGTCGCAGTAGGATCTGCCTGGAGAGTATGCTTCATGCGATCAGAGCTAAAACTGTTCCCCCTGCCCACTACCTGCAGCCCTCCTAGATGTCCATCTGTCCACTGTTCCTTATTTTCCCTTTTAAAAACTGAAGCGAAAGCTGCTGGGAAGCGTGCAATGCGTGGCAAGTAATTACAGAGCAAAGCAGAGCAGAACAACCTCAATGGGTAAGCAGCAATTTAGACAGGCACCAAACACCGACCCTCCACCAGGGAGGTCAACATGAGATCCCTGCACGGGGAAGCAAATCAAAGGAGACTCACTTAGGCACTGCCATACTTGGAGGGCTGGGTAAGCACCAACTGTGAAGTGCCCAGGGGACAGATCTGCATGCCACAACAGCTCATCCACGCTAAACAAAGATTTTAGAAATGGTGACCTGAACCTTGCAAAAGTCACCTCCATCCTTCACTGCAGGTAACCCCACAGACAGCCTGCCCACCACTGCAACCACACATACAGACAGACCTTGGTTTCAGCCTTGTCACAGATGTGGCTGCTCCTCGCCTGCCACTGCCTTGGGGCTGGAGGCTGCCAGCCAAACGAAGGTCTTGGCCTGCTGAAAACCCAGCACATTCACAAGGCGCAAAGTCAGGCTAGAGCAGATGGAGCCTTGAATTAGGCCGCTCAGCTTCCATCCAGCTCCTCTACCGCCACTGGAGACAGGGTATTGCTTTGGACACAGGGAGTTTAGATCCACCTTTGTTCCAACCCAGAACGGCTATTTTCACAGCGTCTTTGCCAGCAAATTACAATATATGCCCACATACTTTAAGCATAGTTCAACAACATCAGCAAAACTTCACTGATAGGAGAAATATTTTCCACCCAGAGTACTCAAACCTTGAGGTAGACACCTCCTCCTCCAAGCACTCACCCACTGGAGCAAAACCCTCCTTGCTTTCACCCAAGGGTCAGAAGAGTAGCTGACCCAGAGATGCCCTGAGATTCCTGCTCATTTCGTAACAAACCACTGTAAAAGGAAATTGAGCTGAATATGCAGATGCTTGAGGTCATTTGAAGTAGAGACTAGCTTGCTTTACACATGAGGGTTCTTCCAGCCTCTGAGAGCAAGAGACAGGAAGGGAAATACCTTTCGGGGAGAAAGCACTAGGATAGGGGGAAAAAAAAAAAAGAAAAAAGAAATCTAATCTAAACACAACCACCCACAAACATTCCCTGAGGAAAAGCTTCAAGCTTATGACACCTATATATCCATAGGTCATCAGGGGTATGGCAAGCATGGGGGCCGAGCACTGCAGCAACACTGGGACACATGCAAGATGTTCTGCATCACACACGGGCAGGGGATTTGCAAATAGGTTCACAACAAGCAAGCCCTCAGGGAACCAGGGAAAACTGAGTAGCTAAAACAATCCTAATTTGCCAGCTGATACAGATGGTTTTTCAACAGGAAGATAATAACAGGTCTTAGGAAAACATAAGCCTCCCCCGGAGAGAAGAGGGTTGTTTCAGCACTTCATTTTTCCCACTCTTCTCAGGAAGCTCAGCAGGAAATGGCAGACTTCCCCCACCGCATAAATTCTTGTATCAGGTGAAATTAATTCCCCTGGGAAGATTATTGCTCTAGACAGTTGATGGGTGCTCCAACTCCAGTGACTGAAACAGCACTCAAAAGTTTCATCCCCAATTCTTGCACAAAGATATGTCTCCATTACCCCAGGCAACGTATGCCCACTCACATGCCCACCTAATGCAGAATACACCTAACAACCTAGTGCTCCTTCCCCTCTTTCTTCTGGTTTCCATGCATTCAGAAGAAAATTGAAAATCATCTATTTCTCCTTGTTTTCTTAATGGAACCATGGCAAAGCTGCTGTGCAATAGTCTGCTATGGCAGGGAAAAAAGGAAAAAAAAAAGAAGGATAAAGCAAACTGCAGGAGTTAAACTGCAACAGCAAACAAATCATTTATGTGCCCACATGTGGAGCCAAGCCTCATTTGTCAGAGGAGTAAGTACCAAAGGCTTTGAACACAGTCACCCGCTCCCTGGTGTCATCCTCAGATGCCTGGTGTTTGCAGAATTAACAGCTAACGGTAACAAAGATGCCTCTGTAAAAGGAATGGTGGAAACATCAGGGGAGATGCAAGAAGAAGAAAAGATCTCTGCACCTCTGAAGGGTAGTTGTCCATGCGAGAAGCCAGTTCCATACCCAGAATGGCTAGGAGCAGTTGGTGAAAGCAGTGAGGTGTATGGAGACAGCTTGTCCCTGGAGCAGCAGCTGGGGAGGTGAGGAGGAGAGAGCTGCGACACTGCCCCAGGACTTCCTACATGCCACCCTATTTATTTCAGGGTATCTGACAAGGGTGCTCAAACATGGGGATGATAGTGCCTGTATCACCACAAGGCTTGACCCTCAGCGAGCCTCCCATGGTCCCAAGTGCGGGAGCAACAGGACAGTGCAATGCCCTGCATGGACGTACTCTCCCCATGGATGCTGTGGTTAAGGTGAGTTTGCCAACTCATGGCTCAGGATCAGGCCAAAAGGTTGGCTATGTTGGCCACCAGACTCTGAAGAGCAGTTCGTATCCATCCACTGCTGGTTAACCTCTGTGGCAGCCGTCGCAAGGGAAAACAAGAGCAACCCAGACTGAATTATCCACTGCAGCAAACGCAACAGTGTTCTCAAGTTGAGTTACCCAACCTTATACTCTCACAACAGCCTCTCACGCTATTTTTTCAAGTCAGCACTTAGCTTTTTCACTAGCTAATACGACATTTCCTCTCCCTTCCCCCAGCCCGAGTATTTGGTGAAATCGCTTCTTCTGCAAATTGCGCTACAAATGCTGAACTTTTGCCAGTTAGACAGGGAAAGCCTTGACTAAAAATAAACCGTGTTTCAGAAAATAGATCCCTTCCCAGTACGACGAAGTAGTGGATAATGCATGCAAGCAGACCTGCCAGGAGAACACAACCTCCAGATTTGCACGAGAATCTCATCAAGCTCAACAGATAGACAACTGCAACTACTGTGACTTGTCCTATCTTAAAAAAAAAACCAAAACAGGGGGGAAGAAAAGGACAGAGTTAGGGCTGAGGGTGATGGGGTAAATCAAGTTTCCACCTGTTTTGGCAGGAAGAAAAGTGCCACCATCACCACTTGCCTGCATCCCCTGTGAACCAAGCTGCTTACAACCTTTACAGGAGGAAGAGGATGACACACCACTCCTTACACAGCCGCTACAGCAGGCAAAACCCTATTACAGGAAATTCACTGCAATTCAGCATGTAAGAGAACGACTTGGGCTTTTGCCACCTGAGTCACCCGGAGTCTGGGGCCCTGAGTCAGTGCTGGCTCCCTCCGACTCAGACACACCTGCAACAGCTTGTTAGCAAACGGAGGCACTCCTACCTTTGCTGTTCCCCTTCTCATTACGGTCCTTCCCTTAAAAAGAGGCCTTTTGCACTAGAAAATTAATTTAAGAAGAGGAAAGTACAAGGAGAAGGCCAGCGCCGGGAAGCACAGGCAGTGCTCTACTAACCAGCTCTGTTTTAAGCTCCGACTGGAAAGCCCGTCTGCTTGCACGGTGCGATAAACCCTGGGAAAGGCAGGGGAATTAGGTGGAAACAGCTCCGCCCTGACTCCCACTCCTCCGGCATGTTTGCCGCGCCGCCCAGACAGTCCCGGATGAACCAGGTTTTCAAGACAGATCACTTTCCATAATGCATTCACTTCACTTTTTTAGGGATCAGGACGGCTTCCTGCAGCGAGTTACAGTTATGTCCTCTTTCAATCAAATGAGCAGTTCAGGCAGGCAAATGCAAAGCAATGCCACTTTGGGATGAGATCCAACAGAGATGGACATTTGCAGAAGGAGTTTCTTTTGCTCTGTAAGCTCTTATGGCAAGTGGAAGGCTCAAGCTCAGTGTGCCACGACAATCCCTCCTTGTCCATCCTGCTCCTGAGTGACCATCTACTCCATCTCAGACCTCCCCTGAGCGACCACAAATAGCAAAATATTCCACTCCAATTCCACTGGTTGCACACACCCCTCCGGTCAGCTGGGAACACGATTCCAGCTAATAAAAAAAGTAGCTCGCAACCTAGCCCTATATTTTCTCCTCCTCAAAGCAATGCAGGAATTGAAACTGAGGTGTTAGCAGACCCGCTGATAGCACAGCGAGGGCATGACTGAAAGCATGTCTGGCATCTCGGAAACTACAAGCAACTCAAGCGATCCACTTACAGTGCCAAACAGTTGCAGAGAGCGCAGATGAGATTTTTCAGTTGAGCACTGATGCCTTAAAGCAATAAATACATCAAATAACTCAGGCAAAAGGATGCACCGGGCAGCGCAGCAGAGGCATTACTCCACTGCTTCTGATAGCAATCAGTGGCAGAGCACAGCAGTCATCACCAGGGAGGAATAAGCTGCTACAGGCTGTTCTTGCCATACATTAAGAAAACAACAGCAGATTTGTTCATGGTTGGATACTAACATGAAAACAGCTTCCTCCCACCCTGACTGAGGACAGTGGGCAGACACACGCTGTGGGGAAGCTACCGAAGCCCAGCAGAGCAGGAGGGCGCAGAAGCAGCGTGGGCAGCCCTGAGCTCGACTGGGATTCCCCTCCTGGTGCTATGGGAAGGAAAAGGCTGTGCCTGCGTCAGCGAGGAGCATGGCCTCCCGGGAGCTGCTCTGCAGCGACACTGTTCTCAACGCTTTCCTCAGAGGGCTGTCAGCAAGGCTCAGTGCAGACCTTACCTTCTGCCTGGGTGTTTTCGCAACACATCCAAATGGAAGAAAACATTGACCGCGGAGCAGTCTGTCCCACAGTATCTGTCAATCCACACCCATCAGGCAAACCTCACACACATTTCACTCTTGGACACATATCAACCATCTCACCCTCACCAGGAGCACAGCAAACGTACCTGTTCAGAGCACCAGCTTCTCCTAAGGCACCAACAAGGAGCAAGAGCACGATCCCCATCGACATACAGGAACTGGGAAATCCTGTAAGCATTAGAGAGAATAGTAATTAGTGACATTAATAAGAACTGGCTGGCGAAAGGGAAGGATGCCAAGGCAATCTCACGAGAGATGGGAAGGTGTTAGATCCCAGCCCTGAACACATTCCTGTCTAGCCCTGGCACCACAATGGAGGTACCCGGCACGAGGCTGCCAGGGGACTTCTCCAAAACCACAAAAGGAAGCCAAGGCAAAAGGCAAGACGATGAGTGCCAAACCAAGGCTGTTCGTCCTGCAAAGCCTCCTCAGCAGTCAACACACTGAAGTTATTGGCTAAGTAGAGAGGCAAAAAAGAGGCTGACAAATGGGACGGAAGCCATCACCTGTGCAACTCCCCTACTCCTCTCCCTGAGATGCTGCTGAAAGTCTCCTGCCCCAGTTTGCAGGGCAGGTGAATCCCATCTGATGTCAGAGACAGGCTGTTTCCATTTTTTTCATTATTATTATTATTGATTCATTATTATGGTTTCATAATATAAATGTTTTTATTTCCCACCGATTGTTTTATAAATCTTTCTTACATTAGTCACACAAAAGACATTTTGTAGCATTGCATAAAGCTGTGACAGAAGTTGCCTCCACAGGCTGCAGAAACACCTCACTGCAGCACACAAAGTGCCCGCTGCACGCCAAAGAAGAGGCATCAGGAAAAAAAAGATGTTTTACTGGAAATAATTCTAAGCAGCCATAAGGAGATGTTTTTCTGATGATACAACTGAAGCAAAGGTCACTGCATCTAATACAGTTTTACTTTTCCCATTCTGTTCGTGCAAAGGTTTGGGGATGGCAACAAACACAGTGGATGAACGACCATCCGCAAGCACATTCTAACAGAGAGAGGATTTGGAAGCCGTGGGAGGTAAGGAAACAGGGTGGGACAACTCCAGTCAAAGCACTGAACCAGCAAGGGGAAGGTACAGGATCAGCCCGACAACATCTCACGTTACTTCCTGCCAACTGGACCTCGTCATGAACTGTGAGAGAACTTACTCATGCAGTGCATTGGTTTACCTTGGACTACGAAAAAGAAACTTGCTTGTTTTCCCTAGTCTCTGTGGGTGACTCACAGACATTAGCCATTGCCAGATGGTATTTAAAGAACTCAGAAAAGCCATAATCTACTTAGCCCCCCATTTTCCCCTTTCTCCTTTCCCACTATGGAAGGGCTGAAGGCATTTCTAAGGATGAAAACAATACTGGAGACCACAAGAGCACAGCACAGATCATGGACTCCAGCCTCAGGCACAAATTTTCCATCACCATTTATAGTTGCTCTCCCTGTTGCTTTACATTACCACTCTAGCCAAAACACAAGAGTTATTTACTCCTGATATGTACCTCCAGGAGGGTCTTCTGTTTTTCTTTCAAGTCAGTAACTGAACACCATTCTGCAGTATTTACAAAGACAGAAAAAACATGACAAATACAACCTGGCCAATAATCTTCAGTGGCAGCTTATTTATAAAAGTATGGAAAGACAACTTTCCTCCCTCAGCAAGGAAATTCATATCTTAGGTTCACACCGCTTACATCTAAAGGGGCTGTATTAGCTTTGAAGGACTTCATCTGCATTGGCATCGACCCACTCCCACACCAGGACTCAGCACGTGGGGGACAGCTGCTCTGCAGACCACCTTTTCTCCCTTCCTCCTCTGGCTCCTTTTTTCTCTACAACGTTCTCAATGCTCTTGCTACTATTAGACAACATTGCAGGAACATCACTGGCAAAGTTCAAACTCCTTGCCTCCCAGTACTGTTGAGCAAGGCAAACAGAAATTCTTGTAGCTTCTCTAAGTGCTGCTGGAGTTAATCAAACCCATATGAAGGTGGCCTGGCCCGCCCTCCCCAAGCAACTGCAGCTCTCAGACAAAGCATTTTGTCCCACGGCAGCCAGACATACTGGAAACACAGCTGAGTGCCAGGGAATCAGACCCTATTCCTAGACTACCTTCTCGAAGTGCCCAGCAGTATCAGTCATCCCAGGGCTGCTCCTGCCAGGAGACATGACCATGGTCCGGGCAGTGCAGACCATGGATGACACACTTGTTGTGGTTTAACCCCAGCTGGCAACCAAGTACCACCCAGCCACTTGCTCCCCCCAGTTGTGATGGGGAGAGAATCAGAACAGTAGAAGTGAGGAAAAACTTAACTCATGAGTTGAGATGAAGACAGTTTAACAGGTAGAGCAGAAGCCACGCACGCCAGCAAAGGAAAACAAGGAATTCGTTCACTGCTTCCCCTCAGCAGGCAGGTGTTCAGCCTTCTCCAGGAAAGCAGGGCTCCTTCACGCGTAATGGTTACTTGGGAAGACAAATGCCATAACTACAACCATCCACCCCCCTTCCTCCTCCTTCCCCCAGATTTATATACTGAGCATGACGTCATATGGATGGAATATTCCTTTGGTCAACTGGGGTCAGCTGTCCTGGCTGCGTCTCCTCCCAACTTCTTGTGCCCTCCTAGCCCACTCACTGGTGGAGTGGTGTGAGGAGCACAAAAGGCCTTGACTGCCTAGGAACAACTGAGAACACCAGTGTGCTGTCAAAAGTATTTCTCATCTGAAATCCAAAATATTGCACTATACCAGCCGCTAATAAAGAAGTTAACTGTCCCAACTGAAACCACGAGTCACACTCATGCCAGCAAAGCTCTTCTGCTGCCTTCCTGCAGCTCCAACCTTTCCACCAAAACATGCATTTCTTGGTGTCACCACTCTAGCAACCTCTTTCTGTCCTTGACATTGCGACATGTTGCTTGTTGGAAGACTGAACTAGTACTGCAGAGACATGGTAATGTTTTATTTCATCTCCCCCCTTCCTGTGATGATCTTGCAACACCAGCAATTTCAAGCTAAAGCAAACAGCTCTGCGCCCCCCCATCACCACCAGCAAGGCTAAGTGTCTGTGCTGTTTTTAAAGGAAGATGGGCAAACCCCTTCGACACAAGCACATATGATGAACTCCTTGGATACAGCTACCACATCCAGGGAGCTGTATCCCCAAAACACACTGGCTTCCCAGCCAACATACCCTGAGAAGTCATCGTCAAGGCAATAACGTACTTGCAATGAGCACCTAACACACAGCTTTTCAGCCTCAGATGGGTCAGATAAATGTTTGTAACAAGTCTGGCAGGAAGATAAACCTATCACTAGCCTTATGGTTAAAGGAGAACAGGACAGCAGGATTTGTCCTGCTCCTTCCCGGAGAGGCACTAACACATCAGGCTCTGGTCTGGAGCAATTTAAGCAGAGAAATCACAGAATCACAGAGTGGTTTGGGTTGGAATGGACCTTTTAAAGATGATCTAGTCCAATGCCCTGCCATGAGCAGGGACATCTAGCACTAGATCAGGTTGCTTAAAGAGGTCCAACCAGACCTTGAAAACTTCCAGTGATGGGGCATCCACAGCTTCTCTGGGCAACCTGCTCCGGTGCGACACCACCCTCACTGTAGAAAATTTCTCCCTACTATTCAATCTAATATTCTCCTTCATATGTTCAGCAGAAGATTTTAGTTAATAGGTGTGCTCAAAGTCTTCCCCGAGGCATACCTCCCCTGGGTTAACTGGGAAGCTGAATGTTTTCTACACGTACATGAAGCTGTCAGTCAGCAGTGCACCTCAAAGGACTCTACTGACATTGTAGCCTCCCAGAAATATTAACACGCTTTGCAATCCTTACCCCTCCTTCACAGGAAGGAAACTGGGGTAGAAGCAGGCCATGCTCTACCAAAAGCTACACAGCTGCCCTTTAGCAAGCTGTGCCCACTCCCACATACTCATCAGCTTAATTGATCCAAAACTATCCTTTGCTGCCAAAACACAGTCCTGCCCTTCCCCTCCTCCCTCTTCTACACATCCCAGTCATCTCTATGCTTGTGGTAGCAACTATCATTTGCTTGATCCAACTGGAAGCCATCCCAGAAAGAAGAAAATAGAGGGGAAGGATTTCTGGCAGAAGAACAGCCTGAGATCAGCTAAAACTGATGGGAAGCATGACCTCAGAAAGATGGCACAGTGGTACATCTGGAAACCCAGATGAGGCTTTCAAGCTATGATGCTTCAACGCATCATAGCTTTGTCTTTGCACAGCAGTAATTCACTTAAAATCCCTTTAATGGCTCAATTCACTGCTGAACATCCACAGCCACTCACTCTTCTCAAGACCCATCCAAACCAGTATGGTGAAGTCCTACCTGAGGTCTCCAAACTAGGCTGGTGCACCCAAATGGCAACACACCACAGCCATGCAAGCCTTGCATCTTACCAAGGAACAGTGGTAAAACAAAATTTCTCCAAGAGATTTGGGGGTTTTTTTGGCATGTTCTGCAATAGCTGAAGGGTGTTCTCAAATGGTTTTCAGGAGAAGGGGAGCAAGGACAAGCATATGTGAAGGATCTAGCAAAAGCTCTTAAGCAAAGCAGACAGCAGGATGCTGAAAATAAATACGCAAAGCCCTTTGCAGCACCAAAGTTCAAATCCATCTGGACATTTCTGAGGCTGTCACAGCAGCCCATAGAAGGGATCTTCCAATTCCTTGCAGAGAAACCCTGGAAAATAAGGATGGAAAACCAGAAACACAGGCTCAAACTCTAAGCCCACCCTTCATCCTGAAACGTGACCTCCTCCAACACCACCAGGGGTGCAGAGGGAGAGGGTGGTACAGCCCTGCATGGAGCCTACTGCCTTGGCTTGTCCCCAAAACAGGGTGGCCTGAGCCCCCTCCACCTCCATCCTGTTTCTCCTCCAGCCCAGGGGTGGATGGATGGGTTGTGATGGACCCAGGTACAGCTCCAAGTACTAGAGGGGCTGGCAGCACAAGTCTTCACAGCCTGGCCAGCCACCTCACTTCCAAAACCAGCAAATTCATGATCCCCACCTAAAAAAGTACATGCCATGAAGCTGTGCTGAGTTGAGGGAGCTGATGCAGGGCATCCCCAGAGGTACCATCCAAACACTCTGGCCCCAGTCTGACGGAGCTCCCCCACCCCAAGCTCCTTACAGAG